ATGTACTTTGTAAGATTATTTAGACACCATTGACAAACGGTGAAGGAAAACATTGTGAGGAAACATGGGCTGTTTTTTTTTTAAACGTTGCAGACTAATATTTTCTCCTGTGTCGTGGGTGCGTTTACAAACACACAAGTTCACGTACACAATGACACCCAGACCCGGAACAACAATTGTGGATCACATAAAGTGTTGTTCCGTGCGGGAATTGAACCCGCGACACGTTGCACGGCAGCCGGTTGCCCAGCCACTGCACCAACCGTGCAGTCATATAATTGTATAGGGGCTTATAATTGTAAGTTTGAAATCGCCAACCAGCATTGAGCAAGCGTGGTGATTAATACGCAAATCTTCTCCGTGAGAGAAGAGGCTTTGCTCAGCAGTAGGTATTTATACGCTGTTGATGTATGGTGATGTACAGTGAAAATTAACAAATACTTAAGTTGTGGGTATTAACGGCTTAAACATCGTTCGTGTTTAGCTAAGGGATCAGATTAAAGTCGGTATGTTTTGCTCAAGTAATGATACTTATTAACTGGGAACATACAGCGTGTTGCTTTTTGTTTTCAACGATAATATTTTTTTAAATGTGTTTGTGGCTTTATTTGTAGATTTTGAAGCGAGAAAGAATATAAGTATTGAGTTATTGTTTAGAAGCGATTAAAAAATCGATTGTAATAATAACATAACGCTTTTTATCCCCGAAGGGGTAGGCAGAGGTGTACATTACGACACTTAATACCATTGTATAATGTAACACCCACTTTTCAATATTTATTTTATGAGTCCCATGTCATAGGGGGTGAGTCTATTGCTGATTGAAAAAGAGTAACCTATGGAGTTTCTTGCTCGTTCTTCTCCATAGGAATCTACACCTTGGAATGAGCAAATAGCTTCACTTTTAATATTATTTTTATTTTGACGTTCAAAAGTGCCATTCTGGCCTAATTGAAATAAATGATTTTGACTTTGACTTTGACTTTGACTTTGACTTTGACTTTGCCATATACATATACCCCACAATTCCAGACTCCGTGCTACTACTGAGATTTTTTGAAAACGCCCGGTAATACTGAATAAAGTAGACTCCCTTAAAATGCATGAAAGAGTTAAGAAGGTTCAATAACCACAACACTTGAAGGTACATTTACTTACAACATGAAAGTATACTAAAGGGAAAAACAATCCTAAGATCATGTCCTTATGACACAAATTTGCTGAAACGACCAACATCTAGCCAAATATTTTTCCACAACGTAGCCTATTTACGTCCGAACAATTAGTTACCTGAGAACTAACGAAGGTTTCACCCACATGATACACAGGAGATATATTTATTCGGATCTTATTGGTCGAAAGAGTATCAATTTCTAAGAGAACCTATTAATCATTATAGTGGGCGGAAGAAAAGTGGTTGTTATCAATCACTTGGAGGAAGCGCAAATATATCCGCAGATTAATTGTTAGATGCTAGTGTAGTGTATCTCGTTTGTTATGATGTACTTCATACATATATAGACTTGTGGTCTTTATTCTATGGTTGTAGGCAGAAACAACAGTGCGCTCCTACTACGATTCGAAAGAAAATCATTTAATTGATTCATTTGCAAAAATATTATGTTAATCGTTGATCTAACAATTTAATTTCACATACAAATCACACACATCTATGTTTGTGAAGACACCCATTCCTTTTTAAAGCTACGAAAAATCATCGAATGACTTCTCCCGCCTGGATGAGACGGAAGGAAGTGCCAGACTCTTACTCACTAAAAAGCACTCCGTTCCTACTCCTGCACATCGATCCGGTAATCGTTTACGTTCTCCACGGCCCCGTATCCGCATCAGCCCTATTTGACCCCATCCGTGGTGGTCTGATGGCTCTATGAGGCGCGCTCGGAATCGATGCGCTGTAGGACCACACCTGAGTGTGGTTATGGTGGAGCGATGAGCTAAAAGACACTCATAAAGTAGGAAAAGAAAAGAATGACTAAAATACATGTAAAAATACAAAGATACAAAATCACATAGGTATTAGTAGTATGTATATTGTATAGACTATGATCTACCTAAATCTAAACACATGTTTATTTAATAATAAATAATTAATTTAATTTTATTTCGGACAACTTAAATCCATTTGGTTAGTAAACAAACAACTTATAAAACTAGTGTTAGTACTTAAAATTACCAGTTACAATTAAAACATGACTTACGCCACAATAGCATGCAGGCGTATCCAATGCCCCAGTATAGGGCTGTCCCATTTGTCTGCTATAGTCTTCAGGATGCTATTGGGGCTGACACGCACCCTGTGCATAATTGAGGCACATCGTTTTCGTATGATGGCATGAAAACCATCAACACCTGCCTCTGCGAACATGCCAGATGCACTGCAGTACCGCGGCAACCCCACCAGCACCCTGAATGCGTTATTGTATTGAACTCGCAGAGCGTTGTATGCCCTCCGCGTGTAGTCGACCCACAGACCGCACGTATAGAACGACTGACAGTACGCTTTAAACAACGTTATCTTAACGTCAGTCGAGCATTTTGCAAACCTGCGGGCCAACATATTGCAGCGGACAGCCAACGCCCTGCGTTCACGCTCTATGTCTAAGCCGTCTCTTAGATCTTCGGAAACCCAGTGGCCCAGATACTTGAACGATGTGACTTGCTTTAGAGGACTTCCGCAAAGTTTCAGCTGTGTTGCAATCGGGTATGTTTTAGTGCCTGCCTTAAATACCAATACTTCACTTTTCCTTACATTGTATCTGAGCCCATGGTCCTCCGCATACTTTTCACAAATATTTAGCAGGCTCATCATTGAGCTGATCGATGGGCTCAGCAGCACCATATCGTCTGCATAACTAATATTGTTGACACATGTTCCGTCTACATAACAACCTTGATAGGTGCTGCTGAGCTCGGCGATCAACCGGTTTATGTACAGACTGAAGAGGCGAGGCGAGGTCAATCCGCCCTGTCTCATTCCACACTCCAGCCCATACTCGTCCGATAACGAGCCGGCCCACCTAACACAATTGATCTGATTCCTATACCAATATCTTAGCATTGATATAACTCCCCTATCCACCTTTGTATCATTTAACAATTTTTGCCACAGCAAGTCATATGACACCAGATCAAAAGCTTTGGAAAGGTCCAGGAAACACGCATTAACAGGCGTTTTCCTAGACGTATAATACTGAACAGTATGCTTGAGAGACAGTATGGCACTTTCTGTGGAAAGTCCTGGTCGGAAACCAAACTGCGCGTCATGCAAATCTATACGGGTTGACATATGCCTATCAAGCAAACCGTCCAGCACCTTAGCCATGATAGTAGCAAGAGATATAGGCCTATAATTTTCTAGATCTGACGTGTCTCCAGTCTTATTCTTTAAAATAGGTACAATTAAAGTTTTCATTAGATCGCTTGGCAGATGAGCGTGGCTTAGACAGAGCGAGAAGAACATCGCCAGCACCCTGGGTAGATGAACTCCCGCATACCGCAGGTGCTCGATGCTGAGGTTGTCATGCCCCGGCGATTTCCCCCTAACCATGTTTTTTATAACGGAAGCAACATCTTTCTTTGTAAACCTGACATTTAAGTCCGTAAAAGAATCCTCAGCATCGACTGCCTGCGATGATAGACCAAGCGGGGACTCGACTTTAAAATGTTTCACAAACAAATTAGCTATAGCTGTAGGTTCATGTTGCCCCGCCACACTCACGGGTACACCCGGCCTGGGATTCAACCTGTTGGTGTTTTTCCAGAACCTTGAAAAGTCTTTGGATTTGTGATTTTCGGCTAGAATATCCATTTTTATTTGGTTTTGGTTATTCTGACACCATCTTAACTTCGATTTAAACATTTTTCTCGTATCGTACATGTGTCTATACAAATGACCAGAAGTTGGTTTACCAGCTACACTCCAGACTTGAAAAGCAAGCCGGGCATTCGCGTGAGCCTGCTTAACATGCCTATTCCAACCTACAACACGTTTACCCCCTGTTCCCCGTTTTGCACCCCCACTACAAGGATGTTGGGCAGCTTCGGTAAGTATACACACAATTTTATTGTACATTTCATCTAATACCATTTTGTGACGAACATTCGCACAGAACCTGTTAGCACAATCTACAAATTCTGTTGGAAAATTAATTTCCCTTAACTTAGTGTTACAATATATTTTGTAATTATCAATTTGACCAGGGTTCCGTTCACCCCACATTATACCCTTTTTGACAAAGATAGGTGTTACAATTGTAGGTCTTATTAAATTAAAATTACATTTTAATTGCATAGGCATGTGGTCCGACCAGTACGTGTCATACAGTATACTTGCACTGACTATTATACGCTTTGCAGCGTCCGTCACTACACAGTGGTCAAGCCAGCGGTGGCAACTGTGCGCGTCACTCACAAAAGTGTACGTACTTGGCGGTAGTAAGTCCAAGTCCGCACAGGTCCAGCTTTGTTCCGCACAGAACCTTATCAATTCACTACCGAATAGCTCACCAGGATGAGCATTAAAATCACCGAGGATGATCACTGATTGCACATTTTGACTTTCCACTATTGCACTTATTTCACTAAGACAGTCCGTAAACTCAGTAATGTTATCGCTTGAGTTCGTTGGCATATACACCGAGAAAATAAGTATGGAGCGATCCTGTGTCATTATCTTGACCGCTAGAAGGCGCACGTTATCACAGTTAACTACTGTGACAGATGGAAACATACTCTTCCTCCACAATAATGCTAGGCCGCCAAAAGGTCTTCCTCGAAGTACTTCCGCCGAAGTATCGACTGCCGAATTGCCCGTAAATGCAAAATCATCGCTGATTTGCCCTAGAAAGGCGATGTCATGCGGCAAAAGCCAGGTTTCTTGCAATGCGATAACGTCCGCCGCTACACACAGACGCCTCACACAGTCAATAGATCTTTTCACACATTTACAATTAAAGCTTACTAAAGTTGTACTATCCATGTTACTTGTTAGTATTATTCACTTTCTTATTAGCAAAGTCTATAAATCTGCGATAGGATATACCTTCAGGCCAAAAATCATCTCTCATGAAAATGTCATATTTGAGTTTAGGAATCGAGATTTTATATGCATCATAACTCTTAGGTACCTTCATTATCATTTTCTCAATATTCACAGAGATGTCTGCCTTTTCTTTAACATAGTCTGCGATGTCATCCTGTGTCACTTGTTTATCCACATGATAGACATACAAGACTACTTGTTCATTGGCTGCCTTAAATTTACTCTTAGATTCTGTTACAGCTTTTCCTATATTTCCGACAAATCGGTTTTTAATTTTCTTCTTCTGTTTCTGTACCAAGGTCCACTCTCCCTCATTAACAATTTGAGCAAGCGTTTTGTTGGCTTCTGTTTCTGACAGCGGTTGGGCGTCCGCTGCGGCTGTGTGTCCCGAGCACCTCGCACTGCTGTTATTGTAATTTTTCCGTGATGCCTCCGCCCGTACCTGCTCGGTGTTGTTGTCAATGCACAAATGTGAACCCAAATTCGTTTCACGTTGTATCCGATTAATCTCATCTTCTGATTCTGTGTGGTTGTTCTGATCCGTTAATTTTGACGTATAGTGGGTAGGAGGTGATACAGTTTCCCTTTGAGGTAATAACAATTGATCCGATGAATTGTTTTGAGTAATAGGAAAATGTTGCAATCCCATCGGGCTGCTATCATAATCACAACTGTCGATCATATGCGTTGCACCTCTTCGCCTTGTGTTTACATACGAGTAACAAGAACTGTTTTCACTGGTAAACTTTTTTAACTCTGCTATGTCCTGCTTGATTGAATCCAATTGACTAGTAGACACATATTGCGATTTTATTTCTTCCATTTCACTTCTCATTTTTGTTAGATCTTTCAGTAACTTTGTTACGTCAACATGATCAAATAATACAGGCGGCAGTTTCTGCAGATCTTTTGCAACAAAAACCGGTCTGTCATTGGGATGAGTCACCTGCAGTAAATTGATTATATCTTCGATCTCACGTTGCTTTTTCCCATCTTTCTTCCTTGTAATATTGCGTTTTGAACCTGTTGTTATAGCTCCAAATAACAAGTTTTTCGCTTCTACAATATCACTATCCGAGAAGGCACTAACACAAATCCGACTTAGACTTTCCTCGTCCATAATATCCAGTTTATTACACACGAAGGCTAACACTTCGTTAATAACGACATTACAGTTTGCACATTTTACTACATTAGAGGAATTCATCCATATTTAGAGCGTAATAATTTTAATAATGCCTGAGGCTATTGTTTTAGTCTGCTTACAGAACTAGAAACACTCAAGTCAAACAGTAATAGTATTAATGCAGTATTAATTAAATTGCATGGATTATTATTTAGCCAGTTAGCTCTACAAGTTTCGAACCACAGAGGGGTTCTTCCTCATGAGCTGAGTAGAGCTTTTCTCAGTATATTCACGTGAGTAACCCGCGTTTTTACTTGACCTTGTGTATTTTTTTTTTTTTGAGGAGGTATACTTATGTCGTCTAATGACTTCTCCCGCCTTGGATTAGGTGAGAGAGAATGTTAGAAGAAAGAAAGAAAGAAAAAAACAGTTTATTAGCACCATTACAGAAAAAACAAAACAATGTACACGGTGCAAAGAGCTGGCCTCTTTGCACCGTGTACATTGTTCAGCTAAAATGCCGTGTCACAATCGCGATTGCTCGAGTGCCAAAATATCATACACTTTTAGACTCTTAGGTACTAACTAAAAACCACCCCACCCACAACTTTCATAATCAGAACCAGAATCTCATCCTCCTTCCTATAATGTGATCAGATAACACAAGAAATAATACCTAAATAGAAAAAAGTACAGCCTGTATATACCATCATAAACACATCTCGACGCGTCGCTCGGATAATCGCAATAAAGTACAGTCGAACTTCATAAGCGTATGTACGCAATATATCCAATATTACTACCTACCTAGCTACATAACGTAGAAGAAAACTTTTTGAGTTCGTTTCTTAGAAAAGTTCGACGGTTCTTCAACTCTTCGACGCGTGTTTGAGTTCGAAACTTTTAAGTTTCCGAAACCTGTTTGCGTAAACGGATTTCGGTATTTCCTTATAAGTAAGAAGAAATAAATTATGGGTTGTTTTATTTTGTCATCCTCACACCTTGAGCGTCGGTGTGTTGGTTGAACTTGACGAAGTTTGTATTGAAGATTCTTGCTTTGGAAGTCTATCGGATTGGACGGGACGAGGGGAGCGTTTATTTATTTGTTTTTTGTTGATGGGAAGTCTCTTCATATTAGGTGGTCCGTAATGCACTCAATGATGCCTCTGGTGTTACTCTGGCGTAGTAGCCACTATGTAGTGGCTATGATGACCACCATCTGGCAGGTAAGCTCTGTTGGTACTAAAATGTTCGTTCAAAGGTGCGTTATCTTTACAAATAAGAATATGTTTTCCAAAAAGGCCAATAAAACTATAGAGGTACATTATGAACTATATAATATTCATAGTGTACCTATATTTTTTCTCGCATAATTTTCCAAGATCAAACCAGGCCATAGAATAACATCACGCCTTTTATCCCCGGAGGGGTAAGCAGAAGTGCACATTATGCCACTACAATGTAACACCCACTTTTCACTATTTATGTTATGAGTCCCATGTAATAGGGGTGAGCCTATTGCCATATACCGGGCGCAATTCCAGACCCCGTGCTAATACTGAGATTTTTTTTAAAAACCCAGTAATACTTTGCCCGACCCGGGAATCGAACCCGAGACCCCTTACCCGGCAGTCGCACTTGCGACCACTTGGCTAGTGAGGCAGTCATAGAATAAGTATAGCTATTAAAAACTATAAAAATAAACGGTTCTCTAAAACCTTTTTATATATAATCTTGCAGAAAACCTTACATGTACCTTTGTACGTTTTGTTAGTAGCTATGTCTATAGCTGATATACAAATAAACGAAAGTCTTAGATCGTTTACACGGCTTCCAACTTTCGTCCCCAACTGTCAAGTTGTGCGGTATTTGTACACAGGTGCAACTTACCAACCGGAGAGCTACCGGAGTGCGACCGGAGCTCAAACGGAGCCCGACCGGAGCCCGGACTCTTCGATACCGTGTTTATTTACCACAGTACGGAAGTGGGCTTTTCACGGTTTATTTATATTTCGCCCGTATTATCCAAGTTTTCGAGTTCGCTTCGAAAATTGTTTGACTTTTTTCTCGGGTTTTCGTTTAGTTTGAGAGGAAGGGATGTGTGACATGTTTTTGGGGTCTCTTTATATTTAACGACCCGCCTCGCTTCGCACGGGTGCAATATGCATATAAACATTACTTAAGAATCACTCTATCTATTTAAAAAAACCGCATCATAATCCGTTTCGTAGTTTTAAAGATCTAAGCATACTTAGGGACAGACAGACGGCGGATAGCGACTTTGTTTTATACTATGTAGTGATGGTCTGTCGGAAAAGAAAGAGTTAATCTTAACTCGAAAAATGTTTGTAAAGGTAAATGTTTGAAAATTTGCATAGGTACTCGTTAATGAAACCAATAAAATTAACATTAAAACTTAAAATTATTTTCTACTAAACAAAACATTCAAAACAAACACCTAAAACCTTCAAATCTGCAATAAACCTCAACAAACAAACAACAGGAAATGACAAAGCAAACCAGCTCCTGTGCGTTTGTCATAAGAACTAATAGCCTGTCACCAGCCCACACCACCCAATCCTCGCAATCACCACTTTACACGAGTCACGCAGTCATCACAATAATTCTTCGCCTTCGACAATATAGTGGACATTTGCACTGTGCCCCCGGCGCGAGTACACGCTCTTTATAAATAGGGTGTCACAAACAAACACATACAATAACTGTTACTTTTTGATCGCTGAAAGTTAGAAAACTTTTTTTCAGCAATGTCTAAGCGATTTAATTTTTTTTATGTTATAAGCCGGCAAACGAGCTGACGGATCACCTGATGGTAAGCAATCAGCGTCGCCTATGGACACCTGGGACACCAGGGGTGTTACAAGTGCGTTACCGGCATTTTGGGATTAAGAATTTGAGGATTGTTGGGATTCAAGGATTGGGAAAGGTAAAGAGGGGTAATTGGGCTTCTGGTAAACTCACTCACACGACAAAACACAACACAAACAATGTTTCACATCGGTCTTCTGTGTAGCCGTGGTATCACGTGGTAAAAAATATTGTTGCTAAAGATTCCAAGACAGAATAAAATCCTAGTGTGGGGTCAGTATCACGATAAAAATTCTCTACATTGCGGGACATTGCCTACATACCTATTCAACTTAATTGAATCCTATTGAATTTACAAAAACACTAAAACAACAAAAGTTCTTTCATTTACAAACAAACATCACGCCTGTCTCCCATCGCAAACAAACTAGTGCGTATATTTTAACACACCTTCTATATCCTAGCTTTAACTCTGTAGTGGACACTAGCACCATGCCCCCGGCGCGTATTACCCGCTCTATATAAATACTACCAACTGACTGGAAGTAGCTAACCAGCTTGTGACGTCACGGAAGCCTAAGGGAACGATAGGTACCTCAATAGTCAATCTTAAACCAGTTTGTAATCCTATTGACATGTTTTAAGACAACAATTAGTCTTAAGTAGATTTGCGATCTCATCAATCAAGTATAGAAATTAGTTAAACATTCTTATACAGCCCATATTGCAGTAGTGAATTTCCGTGAGCAGTTTATTATGCTGTAATCAAGGACGGGAAAAAAGGTGTCTCTTTAAACAACGTCTGTGACACCTGGCTACTATAGATTTACACACACATTGACACGAAGGACATCTGTGGCGTGACATGGCCCGCCATTACACTTCATACATTATTTTTATTTATTTATTTATTAAACTTTATTGCACATACAGTGAAATTGGCGGACTTAATGCCGTAGGCATTATCTGACAGTCGACCATTGGGTGGTGCAGAATGTTAAAGCGGTAGGTGCAAAATTGTAAAAAGAAAGTATGAAGTAGTAGATAACGAAGTTAAGGTAATAAAATATTAAAGAGGGAAGACATGATTGTTATAGTCGATAATACATAACTAAGGGTATAGGGACTTAAAATGAATTATATAATAAATATATATCCCAAATATGCATATGATATAATTACTATATAATACATAAATATATAAATAAATTCAATACATAGACTACATATTACCACTGTTTTCAGTTTGCCACTTTCTATAAATGTGTTCCCGAACCTTGAATTTAAATGAACAGCGATTATTTGCCAATCTGATTTCCTTGGGCAGCGCATTCCACAGAGAGACAGATTGAACGAAAACATTACGGTCTTGCAAGTAATCGCGTATCTTGGTACTTCAATCATTTCTAAGTGAGATTACGTCCGCATTCTTTTCAATATACTTGGCTGTCATTGAATATTATCAATATCAAAATAAATATACAGTCTATGTCACCAATATTCTATCTTCAAACCCTGTCTTTGGTCAGCTATACCCACGCACATACAGCCACATTGTCGCCCAGTCAACAAGTAGCTAACAAGCCGGAGCCACCAACCATTGTCGACACGCGAGCCCCCGGCAACACTCTGAAGTATTTACGCAATTGCCACGTTAACAGAATGCAGCATACTAAGTTGTTCTGCCTGTCAGGTTAAATGGCATTCAAATTAAAATAATAACTGTTTATTAACCTCTTTACAATAAATACCGAAGGACTTTGGTATAGGTGCGTAAGTAACCACATCGAAAACTGCTTGCGATCGTGTAGCGCTGTATGTACCTTTTAAACCCGCCTTTCAAGAGCATGTACATTAATCGTATTATAGCAAACTTCTTATGTAGAGTGAGACAATAGTTTTCTACGTGAAATGATCCTTAAACATTATGTTTTAAGGTAAAAAATACTGAAGTTACGAAGCTTCCTGCAAAATGGGCAAATTTTTAAATAGTATATTTGTCCCACTGTGAAAATTGAGGTATTTAGCCCCTAACATTCTTGTCTTGACATTATCATACATTCTACACAAAATTAAATCATAAATTAAGTGTCATTATGTAAAAAAGTTTTTACAGTAGAATAAAAGATCCGGGCAAAGTTGTACAGTTTTACAACTTTGCCTTT